AATTCAAATCTTTTTCATATACTTGTTACTCTTGTATAATTTTGAAATAGTGGAGAATATTTGTAGCTCAGGTGGATGGTCTTGGTTGCGTTGTGTTCTCTGAGCCGGGTGGTTTAATTGTGAAGCTTTCATCGTCTTTCTAGACAATATCATCAGCACTAATTTCAGTATGAAGATCATGCACTTGTTGAAAGGACTCATAAGAGAGAATGATGTGTTGGATGGATAAGTCTATTTCAAATGAAGGTCATGTCTATGAGCCCTAAATTCAGAGGAAATATACTGAGAAAGCATTTAATGTATTAAACACCTACACTATGAAGAAACATTCAATGTTCTTTACTAGTTTCATTCCTGACATAGTAAATTAAGAATACGTGTGAACCGAACAGATTCATTATTTACGTATGCAAAACGATCTCAGTAGTTCTTCACACCGAGCACAACCTCCATTTGAAATATACCACATGATTTCATTGATATGATTGTAATTGCCACTAAAGTTAACTTATTTTCCGGTTAATTCATAACGTCCATCGGTTGTAAGTCTACTTTTTATGGTCGTGTCGTGCACCTTCCTGGCACTAAAATGCAACTAAAGCTAGAATAAATAGATTAACTTAAATTAACTAAATAAACCTCTAGCTCACCTCTGAATGCTTAAGGTGTTTTAAGTTTTGTTTTAACGAGCATGAATCCGAACAGGCTTCGAAGCCATTTTGCGCCCCTTTGTGCTGGTTAGCATGCACTTACTCAGAGTCCTTAGTTCAGCCATACTAGCCAGGCAAGATGAATAAACTTTTCCCCTATTCATTACTATTACAATAATTCTAATTAAATATATTGGTTCTTTGAATATATTCCTGAAACCAGTTATTTTGATTTGTGTTTGCTTATCAGTACTTACACGTTAAGTAAGGTATTGGTTAAGCAGGTACTAGAACACATCAAGTTAAGTAGAGCTGGTCAAAGGTTATGGAATAGTAACACACCTCTCTACAGTGGAATGAGCTACAGTTGAACGGTGTTCATGAAATACAAATGTACACTCAATTGTAAATACTTATGCACAAAAACACAAACAGGTTCAGTTGACACATTTTCAAACCACACCTTTTAATCCATATGAACATGATAACTCGAAGAGGAGAATAACAAGTGTGACTGATTTACCCAAACGACTAACTAAATCACAGAATATAATTATGAGGGGAATCAACTCTATACAACACTGTATGTACATGAATACATATACAAAGTAAATCAACACTAGAAACACAACCAATAATATTTTTGAACACATTACAATTGGTCAATGTCATTACTTATATCATAACCCTTGTAACGCCGATCTTTGAAAAATTACCCTTACGTAGAGAGTTTCAACTAGTAGAATTTGATACTTTTTAAAGTATCCTTATCTGAGGATGAGTTCTTTTGATAATGTAAGTCAAACCTGATAACCAAAACTAGATTCTCATTTATCTGTTTCAATGAGATAGGAATTAGAAACAGTTATTGAATCAAATATGTTTTTTTTAAAAAAATACTGATACAGAGTTTTGAACTTCCTGACCTATTATAATGATCAGCAGTTAGTATGACGTCATATTACTATATTATAATGTCACTAACTATGACTTTTTTCAGGTGATTGAGGTCCATCCGTAGTTACGGTCCAGGATGTCAGGGTGGTACTGGGTTATGAAAACTGGGGATTACAAGTGGAACCTAGTTGCATAGGATTATGAGCTTCCTCGTGTTTTTGCTGGATATCAGACAACATACCGTCAATTTGACTTAGCGACGAGATCCATATACACAAGACCAGTGGGGCAGATCTCCAAAGCACGGACAGTTTTCAGGCCGTAAGGATTCCGCCCAGTTCGCTGACAGCAGTGAAATCAAAAGGTAAGGTGAATCCAGCTTTTTAATTGTGGTAGGCATTGTTGTTAAAGCAATCGTCAGAGACGGGTGTAGTCTTACCTTGCGAAGGCGAGAGATATTTGGTCCGGTATGTTAGTGTAGTTAGCCCAGCCCTTTTCTGTATATCAGTAGTCCAAAGGGGGCCAGCTATGTGAGTCTGTCAGCATTATGGGTTCCCAGACCATACCACATGGAACTGTGTCATTTCGGTAAGGTGAGCTGCATTCTTCCAGTGAGGTTATGAAGACTTCGATGAGACGCGTTCCTCACCCATATGCCCATGGTGAGATGAGTATAGGCAATGAACCGATTACTCGGTGAATGTGGATGCGTTGAAAGCAAACGGTTGGGAAGGTTCTGCGTTAACACTGACCAGTTTGAAGGGATGTATACAGTGTTCTGGTGGGGGTATTCTTCCTCATGTGGACGCGTTGCTTGGATGTTTCCTTCTGAGCAAGAAAACCGATCCACCAGGTTTGTGTTGGAATGTCCAATGATCTGAAAACCGACCTGAAACTTGGAGCTGAGCCGAAAATTTCTGTAGGAATTAAAATTATTTCTTTTTATTTCACGTAAATACTGAAAAACAATTTATTCCTTTTCGAGGCTTTTGGAGACAATTAGTTTCAAGTCAGCATTCACTTATAACTGACATCAGTAGGAGAATCACTAAAAATCTTGGAGCCCTGGGCAGTTATTTCATTCTACTATGGGACAACTAGGGTTCTAAAGAGAAGCGGTGATCGGTAGGGTGAAATAGCTCGAACGTGAGACCAAATACTCAACGACGGCATTGAAGGAAGTGTGCTACATCACGAATTGACAGAAGTAGGAAATTATGAATCATGAGTTTTTAAACCAGTGGCTAAATGTCAATTTGCCTACCACGAGACTTGAAGGTCATAGGCTCGGCACACATAGGGGTAATAGGAGGGCAATGTTGAGGAGTCAGACATTAGGACGAAACAGTTCCACGATTGTAGCGAAACTGTAAAATGATGTCATCTTGCAATATTTATCTTTTTCAATGCCTTACTTGAATAATATGTGGTTGAAGAGGAAAACTGTTTCGGTGTTAAACCTTTTACTTTTGCCTTGTTTTCATTTCTTGTGCTTACTTTTCATAATAACGTTTAATAAACTTGTAGGATTTTGTTTCTGCGGTCAATTTCCTAATGACCTTGACTGTTGTCATCGTTTAAATATCAGACATTATCAGATATGAAAACAATGTGAACTAATCACTGTAAACATCTCGTATGATAAAGAGAAATAATTGGTTGGGACACTCCCACGCATATACACCAGTGTTTCATATTGTTACGTTATCACACGACAGACTGTCCAAGAAATTAGTTCAACAAAATAAATTACTGGTGTGGGTGTGTTCTAACATAAATTTCATTATCATCATGTGACTTGTTTTCATTGATTCATTCATACACACAAAGATTAGTGACGTCAGTAAGGCTTATTATGCAGTTTGATTTGCGCGTACGCCTTCAAATCTCTACATGAATTTAATGGAGTTTACGATTAAATCGATGTAGAGTGATAGGGACTAGTTTTCCTCAGCTGACACGCTCCAGGGTAAACAAAACGCGTGATTCCACCGTAGGTCATTACCATGTGTATGATTAACAGACAGTTGTTGCCTTATTTAAGTCAAGTGTGTTGCGCTCATTTGATGAAGTTCAAGAACCAAGTGATAGACGAATAGAAAAAGAGTCCTATCATCCAGAAAATTATAATTTATAGTAACCCAAAGTCATGGCTACTGAGACTTATTCAAGGAAGATTTCTGTGGGACCGCTATACAAACAAGATTTAAGATATGAAGTAATGACAACTTATCCAGGAAAACAAGCAGATACAATCGCAGACAAACTTTGCTAGATAAATCAAGTGAAGTAGACAGACATTAAAAAACAGAGAGCTAGTGCAATCATTGAAGATCACTACAACGTTCCGAATTTCGATTATAGTGAGTTGATTCATTCGATCACTGAAATGCAAAAACATTTAGCACTTTAATCAAATAGGCCACATTTGCCTACATAGCTCAAAGCTAGTCAATTGGCAAACTTCTAACATTCCTTAGTCTAAATAACGTCATCCTAATGCTACCCCACACTAACACACTGAATGAATATTCGTTTAGCTAATCTATTTATGCACCTGTTGCGCACTGGTTGAAAGAGATTTATCAACCAATACCTGGAAACTGGAAATGAAGCTTGAAGGTATTTACTCATAACTGTATGGAGGAAATCTCCAAGAAAGACACCTTCGATCTGTCTATCTTAAAAAACTACCTACTCAGCTGGAATAGAAATTTCGATTGTTTCCTCAACATATTTCACAGCGTTTTCGTGACTTAATCTCGTTTGATATTGGTCGATCACTAAATATACTCTCTTAGTTACCTTAGACTAATCTTATGGAAATGTTGAGTGGATAAAGGGTGGACAGAAAGAGGTAGGTCATCCAGATTTCGTGTACCTTAGTAACCTGTATCATGGAATGCAGCTACCTGCAGTCAAAACGTCAATAAGGGCCCATAATTGTTTGTAGTATTCTTTGAATCTCACTTCTCTTACCACAATGAAGGTGGTTATGGTGATGTAGATTATGGAAATACAATAGAATCGCATAAGTTATGTGAAACATGTGGTGTGTGGCATAATACACTTCGAAAAATCTGATCACATGCTTACCTGACATACATATTTATATGGAAATATAATAAAAAGGTAGAAAATGAATTCCGTTAATACACCACACGCTTCAAATGAACTATACCTTCGTGTTGTTTTGTCGAGACTTTGTAACGGTGACAAACTGTGTCACCTTTATATAAAACTGTGGGTTTATATGAAGCAAACACAGTTACCTTCATATCGATTTTTGCACATTTGATTGTGTCAGAAATGTTATCTAGTAGACAATATTGTGTCAGTTTGTTTTATCTGAGAGAATGGTTCAGTTAATCTACTTATACTTATAGAATAATCATTTTATTTCGCAGTCTTATACAGAATCTCATAAGTTCTTACTAACTAGCTTTAATATACATGATTAGTACGTATAAGGTATCAATTAATATTATTATTATTTGTCCCTTGGATTCCCAGTGGAACATAGGACTTCAGTAGCACGTCTACATTCAACTCTCTTCTCTGAACTCTTTGCAACCTAGCTCCATCACTTCCCACAAGATCTCATTTCTCCCACACACAATCTCCTCCATGTCACCCTCACCTCGGACGACCAACTCATCGTCTCCCACTCCGGTTCCACTCGACGACCTGGCCTGATGCGTGATGTCCCCAAACCGTCTTCTCAGCTTCTTTCCAATCCAGTCCATCATACCTCCACATTCTACTGCATATTTGTTGGTTGTTTTGTAGCCAGCCAGCCAGAGTTCCTCCTTGCTTATTCTTCTTATTCTAGTCCTTTGATCTGATCTTCAGTATGAAGCGAGTGTAGGTGGCAGCTGTTGATGAATGTGTATAGTTTGTTGGAAATGCTTTTCGTGACGCACCAAGTCTGTGAATCATCATATGGAAGTACTGATTTGACTGAATAAGTGTTGAAAATCCTGATCTTGTTCACGCTTCATGTTGAGTACAATGCTGTGTTGCATTGTGTTGTGTTGTGTTGTGTTGTGTTGTGTTGTGTTGTGTTGTGTTGTGCAGTAGGTCCCCACAGATTAATGAAGGGCTGTTATGCTGTCTTTCCGATCCTGGCTTTGTCATCCTAATCGGTACCGCCGCCGCCACCTGCAGTTGGAACGATGCTGCCTAGGTAGGTAGGTGTGTAGGTAGGTGGGTGTGTAGGTGTGTAGGTCAGTGGGTGGGTGGATGAAAGAGACAACTTCCTTTAGATTTCTCCCGTTAGTGCTGACTGGTGCTTGTTGTCTCTGTTGTTGTTGGTTGGGTATCCTCATCACCTCTGACTTCTCGACAGTCACTTGAAGGAAGTCCCATCTTCGTTGCTTCTCCTCGTCTTGCCTCGTCTCTTCCCTCAACTTGTTGGTTTTCATCTGTACATCTTTGAGTTTGTGCGACATTAGACGTTAGACACAAATCATCATCATCATCATCATCATCATCATCATCATCATCATCATCATCATCATCATCATCATCATCATCATCATCATCATCATCATCATCATCATCATCATCATCATCATCATCATCATCATCATCATCATCATCATCATCATCATCATCATCATCATCATCATCATCATCATCATCATCATCATCATCATCATCATCATCATCATCATCATCATCATCATCATCATCATCATCATCATCATCATCATCATCATCATCATCATCATCATCATCATCATCATCATCATCATCATCATCATCATCATCATCATCATCATCATCATCATCATCATCATCATCATCATCATCATCATCATCATCATCATCATCATCATCATCATCATCATCATCATCATCATCATCATCATCATCATCATCATCATCATCATCATCATCATCATCATCATCATCATCATCATCATCATCATCATCATCATCATCATCATCATCATCATCATCATCATCATCATCATCATCATCATCATCATCATCATCATCATCATCATCATCATCATCATCATCATCATCATCATCATCATCATCATCATCATCATCATCATCATCATCATCATCATCATCATCATCATCATATTATTATTATTATTATTATTATTATTATTATCATTTTTATGTTGATTTTCTGCTGTTGAATGAGGTTGATGAATGTTAGTGGGACTGAAAGTGTAGTTTTGAAGCAGCTGCCTGCTAAATCACTTCTCGATTGACACAATCGAAGTCTTTTTCAAACTCAATGAAGTTGAGGTAAAGATCCTGTTAACTGCCATTCTATGCTGTGTTCTTTGATTATGTGCGGTGTAGCGTTGCAGTTTGATCAGTGGTCTTTATATTTAGAAACATCTCATCTCCGTTATCTTCAGTCATAAGCTGTAACTATAAAAATGAAGAATTTAAGACGATGCAGGTATATCATCTGTGGTATCAGTGATATCAGACAGCAAATATCGCATCTCTACGGAAACTGTTCCAGTTATCATTCTGTCCAGATGTCATCTGGCTGCAGACTGGAATGTATAAGTGCCTGAGCATTTTACCATTGTCTTTAAACATAACAAAGATTCTTTTCTAAAACAGGTGACATGCCGTTTTATGCACATCAACGATTATCTTTGAAAGCATAATTTGTTTATTGGATTGTTTAGTAATTCTTAATGAAGAAACACATTACGGGTCATTTTCATGTGCGACATTAACCTTTATTAGTAAAGTTTGGAGTTTGATGCCGAATATTTTCGGGCATCACTGAAAATGCTAATGAGTTGTATACAGTCTACCAATTCATGACTGCTTCATATGGTCTCAGTACTAACCAGTCCGGGACTCTACCTCTGTAATCCAGCTTGATTTGAACTGGGATGAGATGTGGTTTCGCAGGCATTGTGATGAACGAACAGTTACGTGTCACATGTTCACATAGGAGTTGGAGAAAACCGTCATTAGACGAAGTGAAGTTCAGGCTAGTTAGCAACTCGAACCTGTGTCTCATTTGTTTTGGCGACAAACTGGTAAACTAGAAGCGGCTGGTTCGAATTTCGGCGCTATCTAGGGTTTTATTTCATCTTCAGTCATCACAGAATTAATTTCATGCACTTAGTGGGCTTTTCATAGATTTGCTGAGAACGAAAGCATTCCAATATAAAATAATAAAACGTTTATCCATCGTAAGGATATATTTTTGAACCACTTACTGCAATGAATAATTTTGGTGTTTTAATTCGTTAATTTTGAGGTGAACTGGGGTTTTAATTTTGAGGCAGTGTTCATCACGGACTGACATCAGTTGGAGAACCATTGCAAAGCTGGGAGCATTGGACAGCTGTTTCCTCACAGTATGGTACTTATCTGAAGTACACACCCAGGACCCGACTAGGGATCGAACTCGAAAGCACTGAACTCCGACCCAGTGGTTAAATGCTTAACGCATTCTCCATGAAACCTGGAGGCGGTGAGTTCGATCCTTAGACTGGTCATATGTGTGTACTACAGAGGAGTCCCTTACTAGGACGAAGTAACTGCCCAGTGCTGTCATATTTTCAGTAGGTCTACAACCGATGTCTTTCCGTGATGAAACTGTAAAGAAAAATAAAATTCCCATTCACCTCAAAATGCATTACTGTATAGTGCTTATTAGTGCCATGCTTCCAGATGGTTATGAGAAGCCGTGACCTGTGGAGTCAACCAATCGGTAAGAAAGCGGATGCCGAATTTACACCTTGGTTGATAGTCACGATATATCGCGAATTTGCAGAAGTTGGAAACCGTGAAGCGTTGAACTTTGACCCAGTGGCTGAATAGGTAACACTATGAATGAATTGTTTTTACGTTCTGTTACTACTCAAATAGTAATAATAATAATAACGACAGTAATAATAATCGCTTTATTCCAAATACCATGTGTGATACAGTATGGAATTCTCACCATGTAATATATCAACCAATTAAATGCCTGTACAATATTGTTAAACTGAATTATTGTTGCATCTGAATAGTGTGAATAATAACAGTACTAAAGGCACTAATGTGAAATGGGCAGCTGGTGTTACATTAGTAGCGTCTGGTCTGGACTCAGGAATGAATACGAACTCGAGTGTAATTTTGGTGGTGGTAGTTGAATCAGCCAGTACAAAATCGGCATTTTGATGTGAGTATCTCGGGAATGGTAATGTACTATAATTTTGAGCATTCTAATTAAAAAAAAACAGTATGAAAAGTGTGGTAGGTACAACGGCGATAAATTATTAGGCTAGTTTCACGTGGTTGAATTGATGGCTGAAAATCGTCGTGTGATAATGACTTTATAAACGTCTCACTGTCTCAAAACAACTTTACCTGGTTATGCTCTCCTAAGCTTCAGAGCCACCAACCAATATATTTGAAGTCTTTCAACTGGGGGTCTTTCTTTAGGCTTTTGGGGCTGCTGCACTTATCCAGATGAATGGGCGTCCACGGCAAACATGCCACAGACATACAAGAAAGCTGCTGAAACTAAAAAGTGAGGGATAGAGTTTACAGTTAACTGGCTATTACACTTCATTGCTAAGGCTTGAAGCAAAAACCAGCGGGTTAGAAGAAAGCTTGTAGAATTGGCTACGAAATGACATCAAACAACAATTTTTGAATAGGTAGTCTTCGAAAAGAACTAGAATGATTGGTTAAAGTATTCTTTTCTCTGAGTATACATAATGTATAGCAACGATGGGCATTGGCTAGCAGTGGAATCCAGGATACTCATTTCGTCCTATTTGGGACTCGTCAACTGGGTGTACCTGCCTCTCAATGAGTGATGTTGTTCCCACCGGGACTCGGACTCAGGAGCATGTGAAGACATGATTTGAGTTTGTCGTCTATAAGCTGTCATACAACATCTGTGATTATGATTAGATTCAATTAGACTGAGAATTAATTCAGTGTTGTTTGAAGTGTCAGTGAATTAGGTGACCCTTTAACCGTGATAGTGATAGTCTATTAACCTCAATGAATCACAAGAAAGCATGAAAAGCTAGAGCCACTGCCCATCATTACTATACATGATTGAAACACAGGCAATATCGAGGCATCCGCACAGGAGCCGATATGCCAGCAGAGACTGATCAATTCGATCCAATCAACGACTGTGTAATTTATGCAATAATACTACGCATAATATGTTAGACAGTTAGAGTAGTTTGCTGAGCATTTCAGTGAGTAAAACTAAATATGAACACTCGAAATATGACTCAAATTTTGAAATAATCGAAACTTATGAACATTTAAGATTGATGAAAGTATAACAGAAGTTTGAAACAGATAGTCGCTTTTATGAATCCCGATAGGGTAATTAGAAGACAAAGTTTATCTGAACAATGTGGTGTATTTGAGCAGCACACTTCAAGCAATCTGATTACACATTTACTTGTCAAGTCAATTTATATAAGACCGAAGAGTGGGAGGACAAGCACAACAATTAAGATAACAACGGATTAAAATTAAGAAAAATGAGAACAAACAGGAAGTGACATGGTCGATCCTAATCTTGGTAAGAAAACAAAGTTTACCAAGGTAGGTATAGTGTAAAAACAAATTGTTTTTGTACATATAAAGGTGGTTTCAACTTGTTTATGGCTAGAGCTCCCATAAATCTCAGTATACGTCCCTGACTGTTTCTACGCCAAACTTTGAAAGCTGTCTGAACCTTAATTTTGTGACCTGTTTATATGTTATGTATAGCTATAGATGGAGAGGGTCGTCTCTCACTAACGTTTATCATGGTTTCACACTCCATTTGTTTTCGAAGCCATTTACGTACATATTCTCTCCTAAGGATTGTCAGGTTTGCAGGAAATGCAAAGCATATAGAAACACAAGTAAACAGAGAGTATGTAAAAGAAGTGAATAGAATGAAATGTAAGAGTGACTTCGGAAAAGATAGATTTGAAATTAAAACTGAGGAGAGAAAGAGCTAAGTAAAATTCATTTGTGTATATAGGTTAAAATTTTCTATGCAGATGGTAAGGACCTGTTGAATTCAAAGACTACCAAGGAATGAAGTTCTCGAAGATTTCTTTCTACTCTGCCAAGAACTGTGAATGTAGGGTCTTTTGAAACTGAATGACCTATTTTGACAATTTGTCAGTTAACACTCCTTTACAACTATCTAGTATAATGTTGCTGAAGTCATTTGGTAAAAGCACAAATTACACGACGTATATAACTTGCTCTATAGGATAAGATGAACTGATACATTAACACAGAATTGATGAAATGTGAATGTTTCTCCTTCAAGTTGTTTGAAAATAATGGATGATCGGCGAATACTAACTTCAACATTGAGGCAAAGAATGTTCTTCAAAGAGAGTTTGATGTCCTCTGTTTCACAGTGTCTTAATTCATATTCAGCATGGTTTTCGTTACAAAGGGGAATATCTCTCTACGAAATTTAGGCCTTATGATTTTTCCAGTAAAACGTGAGGGGGTATGTTACGCATTACTTTATCCTAACCCAATAATCTCTATGTTACTTTTGTCATATTTTCATTTGCCGCGGAAGATACCGATCAGGTTATGAGACAAGAAGAAGCACTTCGTTGAAGAGATATTTTAGTGATTTCATTCTCGAGATATGTATATTAAAGATTGCTAATGATACTGTCTGGAAAGATAATGAAAGCCCCACCATTAAATTCTTCCAGCCTAGTAAACTCAATACATACAAGCAGTTGAATTTCGAAATTCTATTCACAGTAAAGAATTCCCAATGTCCAGTTGATAATACGATGATCTTCAATAATTTAGAGTTTATTTCCATTGGGAACTGATGATAGACTTTTTTTGATATTCACATAGCACTAAACACCTAATCACCTTAATTCTATGGCTGAAAATATACAACTTTGGAACACTTGTTTCCTTCATTTGTTCATTCAATCATAGAGCATGTAAAGACATGATTTGAGTTTGTCGTCTATGAGCTGTTATAAAACATCTGTGATTATGATTAGGTTCAATTAGACTGAGAATTAATTCAGTGTTGTTTGAAGTGTCAGTGAATTAGGTGACCCTTTAACCGTGATAGTGATAGTCTATTAACCTCAATGAATCACAAGAAAGAATGAAAAGTTAAATGATTTAATGTTACCTATAACAAGAACATCCACCACAATAACAGTGACCTAACAAGTTATCTGGTTCGTTAACTGCCTAAGCTTAAGATAGTAGTGTTTAAAGGCTTTATAATATTGTTTATTGATCAGTTCTTGAGATTGATGAACATAACCCGAAGGTGGATTTTTTGCATATTTGTGATTCTATTAAAAATACAACAGTTAATAACATTTTTCAAAGAAAAAAGTGTGTAGCTTTACGCAGGTTGCTAACATAGCTCAGATATCAGATTTCTTGAGAAGTTAACGTTGATATCACTGAATGAAATCAATTGGAGAACTATTGAAAATCTAGGAGGACTGGATGGCTGTTTCATCCTAGTGTGGCACTTCTCAGCAGTGCACATCCGCGATCCCACCTAAGATCAAGCACATCATCTTCAAGTCTATAACTTTGAAAAATCGTACAGCTAAGCGAGCGTATAAAACTTGTGAATGAGAAAAAGATATCATGAGATATGTTTTCATATTAGTACCCTTCA